CAACTGCTAAATAAATGTATAAATTATTTTAAAAATCCGTCTTGCTTAGAAAGAAAAATCAATTGAATTTGCTGATGTTTTGGTTTATGTTTAAGAAGATTATTTTATAATGTACACTGGCTATTTTGTCTATGTGGAATAAAAATGTTAGAACACGGTAAAAATTTTAAGTAAAAAGTCAATTATAATGTGTTTGTTTACTTAGCATGACCATTCAAGTACTCAGGCCATGTCTATTGAGATTAGAGGTTGAGGACAGCTTGTTGGGGTTATTTCTCTCCTCCATCATGTTGACCTAAGGATCCAACTCAGGTAGTTCTTCTTGGTAGCAGATACCTACCCACTAAGCCATACCATAGTCCCTATTGATGACTTAACATTTTCTTTTGTGTTCACAGGGCCAGTGCATCATGGACAGGTTTCCTACATCTCTCCACCAATTCACCTTGACTCTGACCTAGAAAGGCCCCCTGTCAGAGGTGAGTTTTCTTGACTTGAGGGATAGGAAGCAGTGTTCAGGGCTGAGTAAGGGGACTTGATGAAAGCAGACGTAGTTGCAACATGTATTTGTAGTGCAGTACCTCTTCAGAAATGAAGAAGAGAAGCAACATGTGAATAAGTGATCAGAAAATCTTATAAACAGAAGCATAATATGCTGTTCCGAGAAATAGATCTGTCCATTTATTCAAAACCTGTATATCCTGGGGCGTCTAATAGAGGACTATTCGAATTTGTTTCAGGGTGACAGATCAGCAGATCATTGCTGAGATTTATTTTTCTGTCATTGAATTTTTTTAGAATAGGATTTTGCTTGCAATATCATAATTAAAGTCACAGTGAAAGAATTATTCTTCCTTGAAAATTAGTATTTTTAATGAATAATTTTAAAAGTCTTTGTGATGTCAATATTATTATTGATTCATAAAATCATAAAACTGTTTCACATGGATGTCAATGGAAATCGTTTGGAAATATTTTTATTACTAAGGCACAAGAAACTTGAAAGGTAGCATTAATTAGCAGAATATGTAAAGCTAGAATTCATTTTTTTTCTGTTTTTAAGGAAATTCCAGTCCCTAATCTTCAAAATGTTTCATAGTGTTCAAACCTAATATTCCACAGTCATGTCTTCCATTTTTATTATCAAGTATATAAAGGTTAATCTTTTAGTCTTACATATGGCAGATTTTCTAATAAAACCATCAGTGGTTTGACAAAAATCAGTAAGTGTGCATTTTTTGCACACGCCTTCTGCTTGAGCACTTCCCACTGGCACAAGTCTCTTAACTACTGTGCGTCCTGTAAGCTTCTAGTGGACTAGGAGGTTGTGATTTTCCACCTGTCTGGCAGAGTTCCATGATTTCCAAAGAGTTATTCTATGCCCAAGTGCCTTAGTTATTTCCCCAAAGACATTGTATTTTATTGGTGAGAATATGTGCTTTTCTCCCTTGTCTGTATGCTCCTTGAGGACATATTGTCGTAATTACTGTATCCCAGCCACCGGTCTGAGCGTGGTACATAATGGAAAGTACTCCAGTGATTTCGGTCCAAATGACAAGCAGTGATAAGTGATAGATTAAACACTGCTGAAAAATGTTTTTTCTATTTTACAAGAGAAGGAGATACAGGGAACCTAAGGGAATCCCATGGGAGATAGCACAGTGAACCAACGCAGAAAGTATGAGTTTATTTTTGTTCTTAATGAGAGCATGCTAGAAGGGATGGTTAGAAAGATGAAGTATGACAATTTTTAAAGGATTCCACACTCTGTGCCAAGGAGTTTGTAGTTTGTCCTGGTAAAGGGGACCTTTGGGGTCTTTCCTCTAGAATGAATGATGTACCATATTATCAGTTTTGGAGAAAAGAATAGTCTCAGTGACATCAGAGTAGATGATGATCTAGTTAGGGAAGGTGTTGACAAAAAAGGTGACTCCCAGTAGCTGAGATAAAAGATGGTGGCACAGTTAACTGGAATTATGCTTGATAAGAAGATCTGAAAAATATTGTGGGAGGGTTGTGTCTGACTCAGTAGCACAGGGATGGGACAAAGCCTCCGATGTGGCTGTGTTGATTGGCTAAGCTAATGTAGCTTGAGTATTTGTATCTTTTCCACATTCTGTGTTGAAATATATCCCTCAGGGCAGCAGCTCTATGATAGGGTCTCTCCCTTCACTCATGCTTTAATGCTAAAATAAAAGGGGAGGAAACTAGGTAGGTGCTGTGTTGTGCTGGAGATTAAGAGCCTTTGCTTCTAGGGGACCAGAGTTTGTTTCCTAGCACCTGTAACAGGTGGTTCACAAAGGATGGTGACTCCAGCTCCAGGGGATCTAACACACTTGTCCTGGCTTCTTGGGACAACCACAGACACACCCAGCAGACAGTCACACAGACATATACTTACTCACATTTCATTTTCAATAGTAGATCTTTCAAAGAAAAGGGAAACCATATGCTTTAAACTTTTCCTTATATATATTTACATATTCTAAACATATATACCGAGCTACATCTGCTTCAGATTGTCATGCCTTTCTACATGCTGGCTTAGAGATGACCCACATTGGGTCTGGTTTATGGGTCCAAACTATCTATCCTGTGTGCTGTCATTCTTTATGAGAATGTATGGCATTTCTATGCTTGTTTTTCAGATGTCCCTCTTCTATTCTGTGCAGCTTAATTATATCCAGTATGTTCTTTGGAACCCAAAGGAAAATAGCGTAACAACTTACAAAACACTCTCGAGTAAACCATTGTACTCTCCATGGTTGTAAAGTGGCCTTTGAATATAAATTCAGTGGCACTTACCCACTAATGAGTAAATTTGAGAGTTTCTGTTCTTGAAGTCCAATGTGACCATACATGGCATTTGGTCACATAATTTATGCCTGCAATGATTTTATGTGCATTCTTCAATTTACAGATTTTATTACTGAATAGGGGTGTAAATTCCAGTAGTTTACTAGTGCATTAATGTCACAATACATTACAAGGTAATTAACCAGAGATGCCACTATAAATAGAAAAAATAGTCACAGCCTTCACCATAAACTACTTAATAAAAACAAGCTCCTGAATCAGCATTCACCATTACGGTATTTTTTCTTGACATATGTCTCATTAATCAGTACTTCTAAAAAAAAAAAAGTTTTGTCTAGAAGCACTATTGTTTTTAAACCTTTCAAAAACATTTGTTACAATTTGAAGTCAATTTAATGGAATTCATTATATATATGTGTATACACACACACACACACACACACACACACACACACACACACACACACAAATCCACAGAAAATACGTCAATGCCTTTGAGACACATTCCCCAATTTTATACAAGTGAAAGTGAGAGAAATACTGGAGCCTTGGATATTTTGTGACGAATGTGTAAATTGTAGTTTCTAGGAGGATTCATTAAGAATTGCAGCTCTTGGCATTAGAGAGATAGTTCAGCAATTCAGAGCATTGGCTTCTATTATAGAAGATCCAGGGTTCTGTTCCCACCACCCACCTGGCAGCTCCAGTCTGTAGCTCCAGTTCCAACAGACATGATGACCCCTTATGTGGTCCACGATCCTTCGCCCACTCTTTCTTTTGCCTCTAAACACTTCATTTGCAAAATGTCCTCCCTCGGAATCATGTCTGTGTGACTGACAGCATCACCCAGGCAAGGAGCTTGTGGGATTATCTGTGAGGACTCCAGAGTCAGAATCCAGAGCAGAAGCTTATGTAATCTGAGATTCAAATGTACCAGTGAGGGCATATTCTTCAGTTGATCCTTTGTTTTCAAGTTTTGTTGATACTTCGTTGTTGTCATATTCAATTTGGTGACAACCTTAGCAGATTTCATATTGAAACACGTAATTGGGGTTCAGAGTGGAGTGTTTGAGTACAATGGAGGCTTCCTAGCCTCATGAGGGCTTTAACTCAGAAGTTTGGGTACCAAAGGCTTCCTGGTCACACAGACCTTCCATGGAGTCAACTGGTTCATGCTCTTGCCTCGAATTCAAAGAATAAAATTTATGAAGCACAGGTGAGTAGGTTATAGGAAAAAGTTTACTAAAAGTTTGAGGTGGAATTTTAAGGTGAATAAGGGCAGGGTAAATGCAGGGTACCATGACACTACTAGTCTGGGGACTTCTATTGGAGGTAGGGCAGAAATTGGTGTGAGGCGTGGAGGCTGGGGGTCAGTCCAGTTGGACTACAATCAGGCATCTGTGTGTCACAAAGCTTCTCCTACTGGTGTTTCTGGTCTTTGGTCAGAACAGAACCAGAGACATTTCCAGACAAACAAGATTTGAGGTGCCTATTCCGAAACTCACTAACCGTCTGTTCTCACCAACGTCAATGGCAACTGTGATTAGATGAATCCACATCAAATTTCAATAAATAAATAAATAAATAAATAGCCATGAATTTTTGGATTCTTTTTTTGTAATATTAATAATTACAATATTTTAGATTTCCTTATCTATAAAAAAAAACATTGATGACTACTAAGTTGACACCACTTTCCAGGATGATAGTGAGCACTGATCATCCCACATTTGAAATATATACATATATTCTATTGGTAGAATCTCAGTACAAAGTAATGAACACTACTTTTTTGCATTTTAAGATTTTTAAGTTACAACTTGTATTCTGAGGGGGAAAAAAAGCTAAAGGTTTACTTACATTTGTATAGAATGTTTATTCTTAAACATTTTTTCTGTAATAAACTCAGTAGTATAAACATAGTTCAATGGGCACATAATCAATGAAGTAGAATAACGCCAAGTATTAAGTTCCATGTGCGAATTAAATTATAATGAGCAAATCCACGCACTGAAACTATTTTTTTTTAAAGTTCAGAATAAGCAGATGGTGCCGCCTGATGCGTCTACGTTAAAAATAGTCTTGAGCCAACGATTTAACATCACAAATTAGAGCCGTTCACACACAGTATCATCCAGTGAAATGTAAAAACATTTTAAATTGATTAAAATAAAATTGGACTGTGACATCTGTCCTTCTTCCTCAAGAGTTTCCAGGCCTGTTCTCTAATGGTCTATGATGGTGCTTCCCCAGCTTACCAAGTTGAACACACTATAAAATGAGACATAAATTTCATAGCTTTCCACACATTTTTCTCAAGAGAATAAATTGAAACTTGTAATATGGCCACTGCAGTCATGTTTAAGTGCTCTAGACATGTTAACACTCATTCACACTCTTATAAATTCCACACAGTTTTTTTTTTTTTTTTTTGGAGAGGGGATATAATGTAAAGTATACTGTGTGGGGCTAGAGAGATAACTCAGTGGTTAAGATCATTTATTCTTGCAGAAGACCTAGGTTTGATCACCAGCTCCTACAGGGTAGCTCACAACTGTCTATAACTGCAATTCCTGAGAATTTGACACCGTCTTCTAACCTCCTTGGGTACCAGCCATGCATGTGGTACACAAACATATACAAGAAAAACAATCATACACAT